GCGGAGAAGGTGCCCGTTGCGCAGTCCTCGGCTGATGCGCACGACGAGGTTGTCGACGAGCGGTTCAAGCCCCTGGACACAGGTCTGGAAGACGAGCTGCGCGAGGGCGGCCAGCAGGTCGACGAAGAGCTAAGGGAAAAGCAGAGAGCTCTGATTGATTCTCTGCCTCTGGACAAGTGAGTCGAACCCAACCCCAAGTCCCACTCTTACAACATGCTGTGGACGCTCGTCGTCGGACGAACAATAACTGATTTCTAGCCTCCAGATACGAGATCGATAACGGCAGCGCTGCGTGGGAGGAAGCCGAGAAGCAGATCCGCAGCGGAGGCGCCTCAACCGTCAGCATCAAGACCTCGAAACCCAGCAAACGGAAGAAGGGCGAGACCGCGCGAGAGATCTATGACCAGGAGATCGAGTCGAAAAGACAGAAGATCATCAAGAAGGGAACCGAAGGGCGAAAGAAGGCATGAAGTATTCACCTGAACCTGAATCATTCCAGTCTTGCATGAAAGAACGGTGTTATGGTATTCTCTTGTGAAGAGGTTTTACGTTTGTATATATGCCTTGTATATCCAAAAAGTTTGAATAGAGGTTCGCATATCGCATACTCTCATCCTTGTCAAAAACTCCTTTTGCTTGAGGATACATAGCATACAAACTATCTCGGATTTTACAATTCATCATGGTCACCCTTCTCTTTATCAGCCTCTTTATCAGCGTCATTTTTGGCCACTTTATCACCCTCCTCCTTCTGCTCGACAATAACACCATCTGGCAACTTGCTCTTCGACCCCTCACCCAGTCTTATGGCGTCGATCCACGCCTCCACAGACACGGCGCCATAATCCTGAGCCTCCGACGCGTCGTAGCGCCTCCACCAGCCCCTCCGTCCATTCAGAGCAATGATCTCGACCGAGATCTGGTCCTCGGGCAATCCCAGCCCAGCCCGCAGCGTCTTGGCCCCGCTGTTGATAGCGGGGATACTGTAGAACGGGAAAAGCTTGCTCTTGCGCTGGGCGTGCTTGTGCGCGATCTCCGATAGACTGGTTAGCGCCTCTTTCGCGGGACCGGGCACGTCTGCATCCGCTTCGCGGGGCTCGGGGAGGAGTGCTAGGACGCAGGTACCAGATGTAGGCTTTAGGCAGGCGGCTTCGAGTTCCTCTGCCGTAGGGAGTACGGGGATGGGTGGTGCCTGGATCGGGACCTGGGCGGGCTTTGACTCTGTAGCGTCGTCGGGGACGACCTTTGGGTCGGGGGATTCGGTGGGTTTCAAGTTTTCTGCTTCTTCGTTGAGGATAGTGGAAGATTTGGACGACTTGACGGACTTGGTGGTCTTGGAGGATTTGGCGTTGGTTGAGGCGGGGGCCGAGTCGGCGTTTGGAGCTGCGACTTGGCTGAGGAACTTGACGATGGCTTGTTTCTTGAGTTCGCCATCGTAGATGATGGGCTCCTTATCGCCGCCAGGGACTAGGACGAGGGTAGGGAATTCCTTGACACCAAATTTCTCCACGGCGTTTGATTCCTTGTTGCGAATCTGGCCGACCTTGATGGAACCGAGGAACTCAATGGCGACGGCTTTGAGGAGGGCACTCGTGGTACCTTTCTCAGTAAACAGAACAGCCTTGGGAGCCTCCTTGTCCTCGGAGAGCCACTGATCCAAATCCTTGTCCGTGACCCTCTTCACATGATTCGGGATTCGGTCCACAACAGCATCGACGATTGCCTTTGCGCTTCTTGCTCCCTGGTAATCCTCCACTTTTGGCTTGCCGGGTTTCTTGGAAGGAGTGAAGATCTTCAGAGTTGGGAAACCCTGTACGCCCATCCGACCACACAAGGGCTTGTTGGCATCGTCATCGCAGTTCACAGCCGCTACCTTGGCCAGCCCCTCCAGGTTCTTGGCTGCCTTTTCGTATGCAGGCTTGAGGTTCTGGCAATGGCCACACCAAGGAGCATAGAATCTAGAGTAGTGCGCATACGTTTTAGAAGCTTGTCGATGAGACTAATCGCGAGGGTGGGGAGCTTACTCTACGATCTGGGAGAAGTGTTAGCATACAGACACCCTACGACACATTACGCTTCGAGGCCATCTTACCGATGTGTAATTAGAGTTAGCAATCAGCTGGTCATAGGTCTTCTGAGTAACCTGCAGCACAGGAGACTTTTTAGTGTACAGTCCATCTGCGTTGACGGACGAAGCCGCCAGAAGCGATGCCACGAGCAGAAGTGCAGAGCTTGGCTGCATCATAATGAAGGAAATTCAGTGCCTGTAACTTGGGTGATTAGTGACTAGAGAGTAGGTGGTAGCAAGGCACACCAGACAAGTATCATGATTGTCCAAACGTGGACAGCAGGCGTATTTAGAGCTGTCTGCCTGGGGGTTGAAGCAAGGTGTCCTGAAGCTCTTGGCATGTGACGGCGGAGATCAACAAAACAACTCCGCCATGATGCAAACAAATCATGCACGCATCTCCAGCTTCCCCAACGCTATGGCTTTTTCGGCTACAGCTTCATTTACTTAGTCTCTTAATTGACTAGCATGCTCGCTTTCCATCGAGACTACTATCGACAATCTCTCATCATCCATTCTTCTCGTGATGACCTCTAATTGTCCCCAGATACTCTGCTATTCCCCACACTTGAAATAATGGCGGAGACAAAAGTCACGTCGGAGTCTCCACGGGGATCAGGGACAGTGGACTTTTTGCTCATGCCATTGGAAGTCTTCTGGATGATCTTGCAGTATCTTGATGCCAGGGATATTGTACGATGTCGTCGGGTTTCAAAACATTGGAACGAAGCATTTACCAACCCAGAGTATCTGGTTCGCCTGTTGATTCGACTGTTTCCCAGAGCTCCAGAGGTTCGGGCGCTGAAAGGCAAACAGTCGTTGGACGAGCTACTCTCCACGGTTCAGAGTGGTGAGCATTGGCGCGAACTGTTCGACAAGGTTGCCTCGAGATACGATCATCTCAGCCGGGGCAAGCCAAGGTCGGTCCAAAAGCTCAAGCTCTGTGATGACTTTGGAGTCACAGGAGAAAGAGAGTGGTTTCAGGTACAGCCTTGGGATAGTCATGCCAGTCATCTTATGCAGCGCGTTGATTACCTCTATCCCGAAACGTTCTGGACCTACGAGGATGGTCTGCTTGTGTACCCCAGCGCAGATTACTCCTCTTTGGTCCTCATGGATGTGGAGACTGGTAAACAGGTTATGGTACCGTTCTTGATTATCGGTAAGGTGATTAGGAGAATCCGCTTGCAGAAACGAGTCCTTGTAGTGGAATGGGCTGAGCCAAAGGCCTTTCACTGGCTGAATGACAGCGACGGGGTCCATCGTCATTTTGCATCTTCATTTGACGTGACCCAAGAAGCCAATGGCAGCTGGAACGTCGCCTTTCGCAACGAATGGAAGATCATGTTCCTTGGCCATCCTCTGAGCGAAAGAGATCGGTTCTACTCCACTCATAACAAGACGCATTATGTCATCTACATATGGCAACCCAATCGCAGCTTGTACACTGCCGACGAGGATGCCCCAATCGAGTCCCTGTTCGTCTGGGACATTTCAAAGCCATGTCCCTACAGGCCTTCTCTGGATCCTACAGGGCAGCAACGGAGGGAAGAGCAGGATCAAGCTCCCTCCATTGTCTCTCGTTTCGGTTTTAGAGAGTTAGGGTTCTTCTCCGTCAGACAACGAGGAGTACCGGGCATGCAAGGTCTAGAAATAACCGATGATGGCCAAGCCATAGAAATCATTGAGAACTTGTGCACAGGACCGCTTGACCGACTCGTCGGACCGACGGAGTGGACGTCTCAGGTGCAGATCACGAGCATTCCCCTGATTGGCGATGGACCAGTATGGAGGCGAGACGTTGGCTACATCTTATCTCCTTACCGCGGGAGCAATGGGTTACAGACGAAGCCCCTCGGTTTGCTTTGCAAGCAGTTCTGGTATACTGTCATTTCCGAGGTCTATGACAGAAATTCAAAGGCAGGATTTGCTTTGCACCTGTCTCCGTTGGGCTGGCCTTTTGATTCCAAAATTTATATGAGCATACAGACACCATACTCTCGGATTGTCTTGAAACCCGACGATGCTTTTGAAATCGCGGGTAGGGGAAAGATCTGCGGAAACGAGAAATTCGTGATAGGTGAAAATGCAAACCGCGAGCTTATCATTTGGAGATTCGATCGCTAGACATGATTGGTTTCTTGGATCAAACACACAAAGTTCTCATCGTCTCGCGATCTGCGCACTGCCCTTGCTACGTCTACTCGCTCTTCTCAGATGAACGAGGCGAACCTGTCTATGAAAGCCATGAAGACAGACGACTACTGTTTCGTTGGCTATTGAGATGTCGTCCCTCATGAGCTATTGAATGGTAGCCCCTGTGCCAGCTGGACTGGCAAGTCCGAGCCAAGGAGGACAAGTATGATCGCCGCGAGCTTTCCCACTCCTTCTTCTCAACAAAAGTAAGTCACTGGAATTCAATGCGGCACTTACACTACAGAAACCGGCTACGGAAGGTCTACATGGTAGCCGAGATTGACTGGCCGACTCTCGGAAAAAGAGGCAGCTTGAGTCTCGTTTGTGAATGGGTAGGGAGTAGCCGGCGATGATTGCAGCAGAATTTAGATAACTAGCCTTGGAGCCTTAAATTCATGGCTCGATCGATTCGAGATCTTCTTGTAGACTGTTGTAGTTAGTAGGTACTAGTAAGATACCTGGAGCCAAGCTGATCGCTAATTGGACGCAGATCCTGCCTGGTAGCCTAAGGCATCCGCAGCCTGTAGATGGTTAGGGTACGGCTAGTCCCGAACAGGCTAAGCGAAAGCGCCCACACAGAACGGGCCCAGCGAAAGGCTGTCTCTGTGTGTGTGCGAATTTCGAGGTTTGACCTGACTCCGACTCCCTCCAACGACGACAACGACGCCCATCCGTCTCACCCCCCGGCTTCCTCTTCAACTCCCACCGTTCACCTTCGAGGTCACAAGTCGTCAAAATGGGTGGTGTCACCGTTCGCGATGTGGACGTAAGTTTGCTCCATTCAGTACCCTGCAGTCTGCGACACCTGTTTCTCTCTTGGCGGAGAGGCCGCAATGGATTATTGGCAATGGGAAGAGGAGGAATTTGATAAACGGGATATGGATGCTACGGAAGGGACATTCCTTGATATTCAGCCTGTCGCCTGTTCGCGCATATGGGAATCTACAACAAAATCTGCAACGTGAGGATGTCGAAACTTTGACGGGACAGAGATACGGTCGGAAGAGTCGATCACAACACAGCGCACATCGACTGCTTGGGAAACGAGATTATGAACAAAAATTTCGCTGGGACCACCGTTGCCAATAAATCCAGGAGAGAGCAGGAAACAAGGACGAAAACATGTGACGGGCGAGAACCGTGCTAACGAGTGATTTTTCTACGTACAGGCGCAGAAGTTCATCGCTGCCTACTCTGCTTTCCTGAAGCGTCAGGGCAAGCTTCCCATCCCTGGTTCGTTCGGCCTCCGCAACAAGGATTTCAAAGGACATCTTGGAAACTGATGGTTATTAGGATGGGTTGACACTGTCAAGACTTCCTCCTCCAACGAGCTCCCTCCCCAGGACGCTGACTGGTACGATTGATATGAATTGTCCCGTGATCGACCACCATCTAACGGCTGATGATTACAGGTACTACGTCCGCGCCGCTGCCGTTGCCCGTCACATCTACATGCGCAAGACCGTCGGTGTCGGCCGCCTGCGCAAGGTCCACGGCTCGACCAAGAACCGTGGCTCCCGCCCCAACCACCACGTTGATGCCTCCGGCTCCGTCGACCGCAAGGTCATCCAGTCTCTCGAGAAGATCGGTGTCCTTGAGTACGATGAGGAGAAGGGCGGTCGCCGCATTACCCAGGCCGGCCAGCGGGATCTTGACCGGATTGCCAAGACCACCGTTGACGAGGAGGAGGAGGACGAGGAGTAAATTAGTCTCCTACTAAAACAATAAAAAGTCCCTGATGTCTTCATCTTGAACCTCTGGTGTTTTCCTTGTCTAGAAACAATTCCCCCATGTTGTTACAAGAAGGAAAAGCTGGGTGGCTTTGAGTTGAACCGGTCAAGTTACATACAAGTCGGCAACATGGATGAGTTGGATTGATACACTATGGATTCAGCGGGAGAGGAATGAAACTTTTTTTACCCTTTTTTTACTCCATTCGATTCCGACAGTTGTCGATGATGACCAGATGGGGATGGGCCAGCGGAGAGACGAAAGCACGTCTCCTCTGTAAATAGCCAGACACAGGGAGCCATCTGTCTTGTGTCTAATAACGGGATATGATATACTCTCACGTCCATCTTTCCTCCCCGCTACGTAGTATATACAATCACTTCTTCCCCGACTGCGCAGCCGTATCCTAAGGTAAACAACATCAGCCTCACCCATCCCAAAATCCCATCCCCATCCCGCAACGCGAAAGACGAAAGACGAAAGAACGAAAGAAACCTACCAAGTAAACCTGATAAAACTTCATCTTTAACTCATCGTCGTCAAAAACCACCCTCCCCGCCCACGGAACCTCCACCTCCTTCCCCGGCTCCGCTTTAAGCACATACCTCACCGTCCCATACAGCATGAGCTCCCTCTCGCCCCCAAAATAGATCTTCTGCGGGGTGTGTCTCCTCGACGCGACATGCGTCCAGATACTGTGGCGCAGGTTTAGGATTTCTAGAACAGTATACCCCAGTTAGCATTAGCATGGACTTTAGTTTTCGGGGGAGGAGGGCTGGGGGGCAGGCTACCGTCCGCTCCGTTTGCGACCTTGGGCCCCATGATTAGTGTTGCGTCGGATGTGAAGCTGGCGACGTATTGCTCGTGCTGGGATTCATCGTCGCTGATTTGGTAGAAGGATTCCATGAAGGAGATCATGGCGTTTGCGTATGGTGGGGAGAGGGTTGGGTCTGTGGTGATTTTGTAGGACATTTTGATTATACCGGGGTATGATAGGATGCAACGATTTGAACTGGGTTTTTGTCTATTGGTTTGTGAGAGGTTATCTGAATGATTTATCTACAATGTTTGATTCTAATCTATGTTGTGATGTCAATTGCGGTATACCTCTGGTGGGTTCGGGCCGATGCTCACTGTCCGTATCCGACGTTCCGATATGGTTGTATCGGAGATGCGGGTTGGGCTGCGGATTCAAGAATATGGCCGATCAATCGGACCAGAGCCATGAAGGCAGCTTTCTTACAGTGACATCCTGATCTAGAGTGCCTGGATTGATACATATGTACAATTGCTCCTTAAGCCTTCTTGTAGTCCTCCTCGGGCAGCTTGAAGTCCTCCCAGCTAGGTCGATCGGAGCCGTTCGGTCGACTGGCGCGCGAGAAGCTGTTGTCCACGCCGTCAACCTCCACGATAGGTTTGACAACCTCAATATCGGCATTGTACGCCTTGGAGAACCATTTCTCTGTGAGCGCCTCCTGTCCAGCCACGTCGGGGGCTACATAGAGATGCGGAAACCGCGCCTGCATGATCTTTAGGACGGTCGAGGAGATGCGATCCACACTGTCGCAGTGCCGAAGCTTGAAAAATTCCGGGGGTTGAGCAGCCCGCATCTTCTCCTGCACAGCATCCGGATATTTGCCCACGGCGAAGAGCAAGAGGTCATAATGCATCAGAGAGGCCATTCCGTGGTAGGATCCGCCGGTCTTCGCACGGTGATAGAGGCCTGTGAGCGCGGCAATGGCGCCCATGCAGCCTGTGCCGTAATCAGATATGGGAAACGGAGGTACCACTGGAGTGGAGAGGCCCATGAATTGCCCCTGGGCCCATGCGATACCAGTTACCTGATAAGAGTCAGTCGTGCCCATGTTGGCCATACTGCCCGTATTTAGTGAGACTTACGCAATCGGCAATTTGCTGCCAACCAGGACGGCTGGCCCATTCTCCCTCGTAGCCAAAGCAGTTCTCGTTGACGTATACAATGCCCTTGCCACGCTTCTGCGCCAGCGAGGCGAGAGCGATTGGACCGTATCCCAATTTCTCGAGCGCACCTGGGCGATAGCCATCGACAAGCACATCCACATCAGCCAAAAGTTCCTCGAACTGACGACGTCCTTCGGTAGTCTTCAAGTCGAGATCCGCGGCATGCTTGCCCATGTTACCATCAACCTGGAAAAAGGGGACATCTGAAAGATTAGGGCTAGTAATCTTCAAGACGTCTGCGCCGTACTCGGACAGAATTCGCGTAACGGTTGGTCCCGCAATGATGCGGCAGAGTTCCAGCACCTTGACACCTTCTAGGATCTTCCTGCTCCCACTGCGACTGGCGGGGAAGGGTGTCGGGGGCAAGCCACCAGTAAGTCGCTTGACCTTCCATGGAGGTTCCTGCACATTAAGTCGTCCCTGAGCAACAATCAGCTTATCGTCCAGCTGCGACGGAGAGGTTGACTGAACGAACATGGGGAGTATTGATGAAATCCTCGTATTTGAATGCCGTGACCCCAGCTTGTCTCCTCTCCTTGTTCATCTCTTCTAGCTCGGCAGCGCTGTACTTTTGCACGTGGCCCTCAATGACCTTAATGATCTCTTCATAGTCTGTGAGATCAGGACGGTAACCCTCCAATCCAATCATGTTGAGTGTCGTCGTAGCCTCGAGGGAGCCATGGATATGAAAGAATTCGCCCTCGTTCTTGGTTCTGTAAAGGTTGGCGGACATCCGACGGTATCCATTCGACTGGGCCGCAAGCAGGTCGGTGTCTGAACAGATCAGTTTCCGAGGAAGCATGTCTTCAAGCTCAACTCGACCTACCTTTCAATCTCGACTTGACAGCTGGGTCCAGTTTAGAAAGTCCATCAAGTTTGGCCATGTATGCCTGGCATCCGAAAGCTGTCGCCTTCTCCAGGCTGATCTTCACATTGCGCTTCTGTTCACCAAATCGCAAGTCGGCAATTGCACTAGCGACAACACCTTCGACACCCTTCAATGCGGCCAAAGTCTCTGTTTCTTTGAATGGGATCGGGTAGTAGATCTCGTTGTGGGAAGATGAGAATGACACGGCATCCTTATTTTCCACGATCTGGGGCGGCAAACTCAGTCGTTCGGCTTGATCGCAGAGATATGAGAAAATCCGACGTGCTTCCTCAACAGGCGAATACGAGTTGTCTGTTTCTGTGTCGGTCATGTTGACTCTCAGTTTCCACGTCTAGACAGCAATCGACAATCCTGCGGGTTGAGTGTAGATTCTGGTTGTCGGATATGGTTCTATGCCCATCCAAGGAGTTGATGTTTTACAATCAAAGTTACGTTTGAAAGATAATAATGACTCAAAGTAGATCGTCCCGAGAATTTATTTAAGCAGACCATTGAATGGAGAATATGATGCGGGAAAGCACATGGCCATGTCCGATTCGATTCCGAGCTATCGCCCGTCGGGTGGATGCATGCAGACAATCATTCGGCACTGCAGCGAGTACTGTACAATCATAATTATGAAGATTTCAAGGAAACAGCGAATGAACATTGAGCATTCTCTTGTGAAATGTCAACCCCGCACAAGAGAGGTTGAGATCCGAAGACATTGCAGGTTGGGATGATTTCGATCGGATGTCAATCGAGGCCGATAAGATCGGAAGAGACGTGGATAGTGCTTATCTACGGTCATGTGCTATAATCACGTGACAATATCGAGGAGACAGTCTCCTGCTCCGTCATTCTTAGGGATGAGAGAGAGCTTAGAAGAGGCAGTATCATATTGGACACATTAGTCAATGGTTTCTGGGTTCACAACTATTATTGACAAATATGTCGCAGGGGAATCTTCTTCCGCTGTCCCCACCGAGTAGAGCATAAGATCTGATGTTGCGTCATCCCGGTGATGATCTGCCAAAGTATAAGAGGAATATATATGAGATTTCCAACTAAGCGAGCCGAGGTACTCTCAGTCTGTTTGGAGATGAAAGTTAAACAAGGCACAGTGAAAAATGTGGATATATACAGACTGAGATAATCAGTATTGCTGTAAGTGTACTAATGGCAGTCGGATGGACAACTATTAAGGGGATATTCCCCCACAGCACCACATATCGCGAGTTCTCGACGCTTCTGTAAGTCAATGGCACCTTTACCAGGATACCATGCAGCTATGCTTAGTAAATAATAGGTCCAGTTCCACCTGGCAATCCGCAGGAGAGACTGAAGGGCACCGACTCTCCACTAGCATAGCATGTCGAGGGATTTATTAGCCGAGTAAATAAGGGTTTGAACAGGACAGTGCATTGACTGTAAACCCCCACTGTCTGGGCTCCGGATTATCGGCAACTGGTACCTCTCGATATTACTGTCTATATTGCCTTACTCAAGATGCAATTGAGTGAGATCATTGATAGAAGTCATCAGAATCGAATTGATAAATAATTCGCTTGCGAACATTATTGAATTACATATGTGATGAAGGACAATGCTTACCTGTCCAGAACCCAGTATTACCTACCTGCTTATACACCGGGTGTGACGTACTGACAGAGACCTTAGTAGTAGCCAGGTCTAGTACATATGGAGTCAGGTACTTGGAGAGTGCCTACACCTCAAGTATCGCCTGTTTGCGGGGCCCACTGGTGATGTGGTGGTTTCATAGATCTACTGAAGTTGTAACTGTACCTCCCAGACACTGAAGAATCAAATTCTTAACATTGAGGCGAGAATGATTGACCACCAATGATCAAGACATTCATTCTGAATTGATCCTGAGGGGGGTGTATAAGCGCAGCCAGTCATGGGAGTCATAGACATGCATGTGCTGTCGTGAAGATCCCACGTGCCCTAATCATGGACGCTTATCGCCCGCCCCGTCTTGCTATGTACCGAATGTTGTGATAGGGTTGCACCCTGTTGCATTGACCCCCCAGAAGAAGAAAACACACGCCGGTAACGCTGCAACCGGATGGAAATTCTTAATTGTCGATCCTTGAGGGGTTGTATATCTCTTGAGACCTGGTTGTCTGCGGAGTACTGGGCGAGGTCTTTACCGGTGTGTTTTCGGTGGGATACGGAGTACATCTAGCTGCATTTCAAGAGGTACAAAGTAGTACATGGTACTCCGATACTGTTGTATGATCTGATCATGGATCAATTGGGTAGATGTGGGAAAACTGATCAGATCTCATGTCTTAGTTGATTTCTACTCTACAGTGCTATGACGCAGTTTCTTTTTAGATTTGTCAAGGTACCTCAGGTAGATAAGTAGATGTATAACTGTACTCCGTACTCCGTAAGTAATACAGTGTCCACAGTGGCTCCGGATCCTCCCGGCGCTGTTCTGACTTGGGGAGGAGACATACTCCGGGAAGCTCTAGGCTGCTGGCCAATTACCAGGGCCACGCGCCTGTCTCGTTGGCATGGACCTGTTCTCCTCCGTATGGATCATCTGTATGGAGCAGTACTCCGTCTGGACTGTCGATTATGGAGACTGTATGGGGCAGTAACTATGGTACCCTGATGGACCTCCGAAGTATGTAGATTGAGTCCAAGTACTGCACAGGATTTAAACAACAGTAATAATCCCTCACCTCAAGTCCTCAATATCCAGGTACTTATACATTCCAGCCTAGACTGCGATCGTCATTTCTCATGATTATCGACTTGCCGTAATCCTAATACAGCAAATACGCGATATTCTTGCCCCCGCGGACTCAACGCCGGCTGACGGGCTACGGGCACGCTTCACTGCGCCTGCTGATATTATTATTATTATCGCAACTATTATTATATCCTATCTTCATACTTACTTTTCCCCCCCTCCTTCCTCCCCTCCTCTTATCTCTCTTTCTTCTACCATCCAAAAAGCAAGTCATCCAGGAAGTCATCATACTGCTAGCATCGCGCTTGTTAAGTCTTGTTTGTCTGAACGGTCGCGTGCCTTGATCTATCTAGTATCCGCGCGTCGTATTCGCATCTCGCTCAGCTCACACACTGTGCCTGCATCTCCTGCTTGAACTGTCATCTGTTCCCCCCAACATACTACGTGAGTGATCATATCCATATCTGTGTCTTTTTTCGATTCCTGGCCTCGTCTGACGTGCCTGGTTTCTTTGTTCATCTATTTGCGTGTTACCAGTTTAGTCATCCCCGTCCATTGTTCTGTTCCCCCTTGCGGCGTCTTATGGTTGGTGGACGGTCTTCTGACTCATGTGATGACAGGTTTAGCCACCACTGAAGTACCATATCAATTTCTCTTCAGTCCATTACTTCTCTCTACAATCATGGCTCCTCAAACAGCTACATCCAGCATCGCCATGGCCCTTGCTGGCAAGACGGCCTCTGTTGATATCCCCAAGCCCCGTTCCGGCTTCTCTTCTGGCAGGCGTGACTCTGTCCGTCCAGGACATCCCGCGATGTTGCCTACGCCTCCCAACTCCATCTCTCCGACTCTTCCTCCGCAGGCTTTCAGGAAACAAGATCTTCGCCGTCCAGGATCCCCTCCGCTTGCTACTTCGCCCCATGTGGATTCGGATATCGACCTGGGCGACGCTGCAAATGAGCAGCGTCAGTCCGCGCATGGCTCGGATAACGTGGGAGAAATTACTCCGAGCATGTTGGCCAGGTATCACCTGCCCGAGGTCATGCTCAACCAAGGCCCTCTGGCTATCCGTCACGTCATGGCATACCTGACCACTTCGGTGCCCGGGTTCTCCAGAATCCCCCCTGCCAAGGCGCGCAGACTCGTTGTGGCAGCCTTGGAAGGCCGGGGGAATGAGGGAGAGGGTTTAAGCGGCGATGTCATCTTCGAGAAAGTGGGTTGGGGCCGCTGGGATGCGCGACGCCGTGGCGAACCATTGCGCAACCCTTCGCATCCAACCGCGTCGCCACCCGCCAGTTTCTCGAGCTCGTTTACTCAGCGGGGTATGGAGATCCCGACTAGGCGAGAAGCCGCATATACCTATGGAAGCAGCATGACTGGTGATTCAACCGTGTTCTCGTACACAGAGCGAGAACATGGACATGGGGACCTCAGCATGCTGGAACACGAAGCAGACAAGATGTCTCTCGACGGAGACGACCGCGAATATTGCTCGTCTTCGGAGGCTCCTGATGAAGAGATCCCAGATGAAGACTGGGGTGAGGAGGATGTCACCGACGAGGAGGACTGGGCGCAGATAGGAGCAGCAGCACTTCGCGCACGTTCACTGAACGGAGGCGGAGGGTTCATAAATGGCAACGGACCATCACCTCTATTACGAGGCGGCGGACCCGCTCCGTCCTCGTTGGCGAAATCCGCGCCGCGACATATTCCCATTCAACAGCTTGGTTTTTCCGTGCCTGACGGCATGGTTAGCAACAAGGAAGAACGCGCCGCGGTAGAAGCATTGTTAAGACTTGGATCTATATGAACTTCAGCAACAGGGAAAACGGCGTTGGTACGGATGGTTTATACTCGGGTACACATTTGACGACCTGATTTTTACTTTCTATGATTTCGGAGGCGGGACGGTCATCCCCGATCCTCTCGGCTTTTTACGATTTATTATGATATGCTCTCGGAAAATCGGGTTGCCAGATATTCAACACGGCACTCGCGGTCTGGCTGGCTCGATCGAATGGTCTTTTAAATGCATTGGGATCTAGACTTCACAGGGGTCGGTTTCACGGAGTTTCTGGACATGGGGTTTTCATGGTTGTTACTCGCTGTTAATACCAAGCTTGAGTGCACACAACTCAGCTTTCACTTTGCATTTTACACATCTGGGTTTCGCAGTCTATTTATGTCATACTGCTCCCATTTCATCTATTTATGAGATGATGGACTCTCTCCGCTTAATCTTCTTGGTCAGCTGTACATTCAGTTTGATGACTTACATGTCTGTATGTTCCTGGTGAACTACTCTCGGACAGGTTTCAGCAGTATATAACACTACATATACATACAAGAAACAAAAACAAGTAGCGTTGCCTTTGGCATGATATATCCCAAATTATGTGATCATAGTCTATCTGTAGTTCACCGTACCCTTCCGTCGAATATATTCTGCTTTCCTTGTCCATTCAATCGTCGATATGACCGGAGAACTCAAGACTGGCTTGATACAAAACGCTTATCTGATGTAAACCCAAGTCCTCACCCAGCCCAAAATCGCAATACAACCATAAGATCCCAGTACATATCAAGGCATAACAAATAAACGCCACCCAGCCCAGACCAGCTCATCCCTTACACCATCCCAGATTGATGATACAGACCTAAACCACATACAGAACCAGAAACAACCAACGCAACAAAAAATCAATAGATAGGATAAACACGGAGGAGATACAGCAGCAGCACATCTACTTATCATGAGCCTCATTAATCCTCCTCCACACCTCAGCCTCCACCTCCGCCAGCTTCGTCCCCGCACTTGCTATCCATGACTTGGCGCTCGCCAGGAACCCGGCGTCTTCTTGGGCGGAGGCAAACTCGTCGGCGCCATGGCCCTGGGCCTGGTAGAGGGGTAGTTGTGACGAGGTGTTGGCTGGTTGGTAGAGCGAGGCGTAGGGTGTGGATGTTGAGTTTGGGTGTGGTTGTGCGTGAGGGTGTGCTCGTGGATGGAATTGTTGGTCCTGGGCTGGGTGTGTGAATCCGGAGCTGTACCCGCCGGCTGTGGGGCTGTAGCTGTAGCCGTAGCTAGGCATGGGGTTCGCTGGTGTTGTAGTTGTAGTTGCGCCTGTGGCTGTAGCGGTAGGTGTTGGTTGAGGTTGAGCCTGGGGAGCAGAAGCAGGACCAGGGACTGGAGCAGGAGCTGAAGATGCAGCCAAAACTGGAGGAGCCGTCGGTGCAGGAATTCCAGGATCAGGACGAGCTCCAGGCTGAGGGGGAGGAGGCGAGGTGCTCGTTCTCGTGGCAGGCGTGGCTATCGTTTCGGTCGGTGTGGGTAGAGGAGGTCCGTCACTGCCAGACGCCGTTGGTGCAGTCGGCGCGGGCATGGTTGTGATGCCTCCTGGTTGGGCCTGGGCAGTGGCGTAGATCGGAGAGTATGGAGGTGCTGTTGCGGTGGCCGACACAGATGCAGGTTCAGATAGAGCTAGTTCGTCCTGCTTCGATGATGTAGACGGGACCGTCGCGTCAGGAAGCGCCGTTGTAGTCATGTTGAGATGAATATTTTAATCATAAAGCCCAGCAACCTCAATGGTAGACGAGTTCCCCTGTCTTAAGGGATAGCAGCACCGACCGACGTTGGGATCATATCACGTGATTGACTACACGTGGTGTTTACGGAGAGGAAAATTTTCACCTACAGAGGCAACGTCAAGGAAGCAACCCCAAACAAACGGAAACCAGTTTTCGTACCGGAAAGAAGTACACATTGAGAAAAAAAGAAAAAGCTTGCAGGCAGTAAAGTACAACGGGTACACGAGGAAATATCACACTGCTCTATGCTCAAGAAACCCGATACCCTTCTTGGAGCATATTTTCTATAACCATCCACAGTAGCGTCCAGTTTCAGGAAGTTACGCCTGCAACTGACCAACCCTTCCCCTATGAAGCCGCATCGATGAAAACGATTCGAAGTTAATCAATCGTTTAGCCAGAGCCACCCTTGAACTTCTTGCCGAAGAGGATGAGCTGAACCTGGTCGTAGATGGACAGGACACCAGCACCAGCAACACCACGGAGGATGTTAGCACCAGCACCCTTGAAGAGAGACTTGACACCCTCCTTGGCGACGATCTGGCGAGCAGCATCCATGGAGGACTTGTACTTGACGGCCTCACCGGAGGTCATCATCATACGACGACGGATGGTGTCAAGAGGGTAAGAAGCAATACCAGCACCAGTGGTGACAGTCCAGCCGAGCAGGAAGGAAGCAAGGAAGCTACCCTCAAGAGAACCAACCAGGACAACAGGCTTGATGGAGTCGTACATGCCGAAGTACAGACCACGGTAGACAACAATACCAAGAACGGAGGGACCGAAACCACGGTAGAGACCGGCAATACCGTCGGAAGCGAGGGTCTTACGGTAGACATCAACGAGACCGTTGAACTGGCGCTCACCACCACCCTTGGCGGACTTGGCGTCGTTGGCAAGACGGGTACGAGCGTAGTCGAGAGAGTAGACGAAGAGGAGGGAAGTGGCACCAGCAGCCTGAATAGCTTGTTAGTTTTCAAGTCATCTCTGCAGGAGACATGCTAAGGATATACGTACACCACCGGAGGCAAGGTTACCCATCATCCACTTGGCGTATCCATCACGGTCCTTCTTGTAGGCGAACATCGACTTGTAGGTGTCACGGAAAGCGAAGTTCAGAGCCTGGGTAGGGAAGTAACGGATGACGTTGGCAGTGTTACCACGCCACAGGGACATGACACCCTCAGCCTGAGCAGTACGACGGAAGCAGTCGACGATACCGTTGTACTTGCGGTCGAGACGGCCAGCACGGATCATCTCATCCTGTAGCGAATGGCGTTAGTCGCGTTCCAGTTGAGCAGATTGTCGGCCAGATTTGTAGAATGGCACGTTTTGCGACCACCCGATTGTCCCAATCTTAGCGACAGAAACATCGTAGGTCATCGCAAAACTTCGCTCTGTCCGATTTGTTTTCTCGCAGAGCGGTAGCCATTCTCACTGTTGGTCCGGGAGCGAAGATGGTTAACCAACCTGGTTCTGGACAAGGAGCTTGATACGCTCGATGGGGGCAGCAGCAGTCTTGGAGACGGCAGCGGAAACACCACCCACTGCGAAAGAGTCAGTAAAAGCTCGATAGAATGATCCCATTGTCGCAAATTGATGACTGCTGAAGATTGAACAATCATCGGGAATGATTTGGATAGCACATACTGAGGAAGTCGACGACGAATCCCTGCGGTGAAAATTCTGTCAGCGAGTCGTTTCCCCAGGCTTCGAGGGCAAAACCGCGTCGAAAACATCAAATGGAGTTCCTAGAGACGATTGCAATGATCTTCCACATCATGGAGCTTGATTCCTCATCATTGCCATCATTTCAAGACCTCGATCCGATGCGACCGGTTGTTGCCCAAAACAGGACGGGAATAACAACTTACGGGCATGCCGAAGACGGTCTTGTCGGCCTGGTTAACGTCACCCTTGGCCATGTTGACGGCTGTAAAGGACGAAAACTAAGAAAGAGACGAAGAGAGGAGATGGGGTTGAGTGTCAAGAAAGAACAGGACACTTCAAAGAGGATGGGAGGAGAAAAAAGAGGAAGGGGAACGGGAAGGGGAAGGGAGGAAAGAAAAATAGCGAGCGAAGGGCTCTTGTAAGCGGGCGGAAGCGAGTGGAGCCGCTAGGACGCTCTGGGAAAATTCTGGTTTGCTGGCCTCAAAGCGTAAAAGGGAAAAAAAATTTCGCAGCAATTTTTTTCCTTTTGCCAGCGGACAAACGGCCAGCGAAAGAGAAAAAAAGAAAATTCGGAACCGGGCGCTAATGATGGCCCAGGCAACGAGAGCCGATAATTCCCGATCTACCAGAAGCATTGTAATAATAACAGAGACTGCGTAACACACTGTCACTTGCGCTTGATGATTATTCTGCAAAGATTCTTATAATTATAACAATGCTCTTCTTGGGACAGGCTTGACTAATAATCTATAGCTAACTAACATGAGGATAAATCCATTTGGTTGATCGAAAGGAGTCTTCCCTGTACCTTATTCTTCACCGTTTCCCCGTCACTAAGCCAACCGTAACCCGGAGAGCCTCCGCCCAGTCGCCCACAGTCAGTCTCTTCACGGGGAACGTATCTCTACCTTAGCCTCAAGGATTTCTATTCTTGGTCTTGTCCCGAGTCTCCGATGACAAAATTCTCCTTGTTAGCCACCCGTCAGTAATCTTTGTAGATTCCGTAAATGCGGATAGAAGATATAGATGACTTCAAAGTCCGGATACCCCAGTAAATTTTTTTTGGGCGGTAGACACTCCATAATCCACTATCAAGCCGGTCATATGCATCGCTACTTTTCGGCCCTCAGTGCCGCGGATGTTCCAGGACATACAAAGTACTATCTGTCTACGACATCTTTCCTAGAGTGGATAGTTATCTTCAAGCAATGTCAATTGTGTACCCAGCGATTGAGCTTAGCGAATTCTCTCAAAAAGCATAGTCAGAATGCCATCCGTAAATACAATTCTTAGCAATGAGATCGATCCGATTCTTCTGAAGAAACTGCACTGTTTCTCGCATACCTGACGGGAATCTTCGACAGGACAGTCAGTGTACCTATAAACCGTATATGACCGGTTCGGTAGCATCCACTCTGTTTCGGGAGGTCAAAGCTGCTTGACTAGTCTAGCATTTCCCGACGAGGATTGATACCAATAGGGATTGTATAGCCATCGCTCAGTAGATAGATAGGTAACATCAAGCGGAAGCTCCCTTTTGGAAATATTAATGTCACTTTGTGCAATACCTTCCCAGGTTCGGTTTCGGGCGTTCGCGCCTCACCTTTTCCAAGCTACCTAAGGCTGTTCCTAGTTGCTCTTGAAAAAAAGTGGGAAGACCCACACAACATGGGGGCAATCTTTTACCATATATCGGACTGAGAACATTCTACTATGATCGATTTCTACTCCATATACTCATATGGGACTTCAATTTTCTCCTGTGGCAAGTCCTCTGATAAGTAATGATATTTTCTTGAATTTGCCTCGTACAGTGCCAGTCAAATCAGACTGTATGAAACGCTACGAGGTATAATATCTACAATTCAAGTGTAGTATCAAGTTTGCCTCAACTCGAGACTCCAATACTCAAATGCCGGTAAGAACATCGATATGTAGCAATGTCCAAGTCATCCAGACTAGACGCAGATGCGGCCGTTGTGAAACTTCCATTGATACGGGATCAGGCCTGAAAGATCGAAGGAAAACGGGAAGCCTCTGAACCTCACGATATGTTTTCATTATAAACAAGCCATTTCCGGCAACTGCAAGTGGTATTTATAAGACAAACATCAGCTCCAACAAAAGCCACACATCAATGCTTCTTGGACCTCTTTCTCTTCTTCCTCCTGGGCTCCCCTTCCCGGATATCCACTTTGTCCCCATCGTCTGCTTGCTCCGCATTACCCACAGGCTTTTCACCGCCGAAGCTGAAGACAGGACCCTCCTCATTGCCAAAGGTCTCCTTGCGCCATTGCCTCAGGCGAGCCTTCTTGCCGAGTTTCTTCTGGTCCTTGCGTTTCTTCTCCGGGTCACGGAAGGAAGCGAGCTTCTTCAGACCCGCAAACTGATTCAGCTGTGCATCATCAGCCATAAGAATGTCCCGCGCGGTCAACCCGAAGCTTTGAGGCGAGGTCTCGCGGTAGCGGAAGCGAGTCGTGTTCTTCTTGGTGGCGCCGGGTAGAAGAGAAATGTCGAGGTCTAGGTTGCGATCGACTGCCTCCTCGATGCGGAGGCGGTCCTTGCGGGCTTCCCGCTTCTGATCCCGCCTCTCTTGAGCTTTGCTCTTCTTGTTCGTGTCGTCGGCATCATCCTCCATCTCGACATCAGAATCCTCCAATACCGGCTTGGGTTCCTCCTCATCAAAATCGGGGACCAGATCTTTGATATCAATATCATCATCCCACGTAGGCTTCTTTGGACGTTTCTTTTTGCCCTTGGCCTCGCCATCACTACCAGCGGCGTCTTCCTCGGCGTAGTAGTCCTCGCCAAACCGTTTCTGCATTTCCTTTTCCCACTGGTCATCGTCCCAAGCCTCGTCCAGGAAGTGTGCCCAGTCCTCATCGGTGAATTTAGATGCGCGGAAGCCAGCGACTTCCTTGATCTTTTTGACCTTCTCCTGAAGTTCTTCCATCTTTAATTTGCGAAGACGGTTTTTCTCAGCTTCCCGCTGCTTCTTCTCTTCCTCCTTTCGCATGCGCTCAGCTTCACGCTGCTTCTTTCTGGCGCTCTTTTCCTCTCTTCGAACAGACTGTTGGTTGGTCTTATCACGAGCGTGGGTCAACAGGGTCGCGTTCAGCTTGCTAGGGTCTTCAAAGCGGAAGTTGTATGCCTCCTCAAAGGCTTCTGCCCGCTCCACCTCCTCCTCATCCTCAGACTCGAAAGGCTGCAGCTCGGATCTACCAGCTGGAATCCATGCCCTGGAAGACAAAAAGTTTGAAAGGAAGGTCTCCGGGTCCTTGTCCGC